GAGTCTCACTTTGTTGCCCAGGCTAGAGTGAGTGCCGTGGGGTCTGCTTAGCTCACAGCAACCTTAAACTCCTGGGCTCAAGCGATCCTCCTGCCTCAGCCTCCCAAGTAGCTGGGACTACAGGCATGTGCCACCATGCCTGGCTAATTTTTTTTCTATATATATTAGTTAGCCAATTAATTTCTTCCTATTTATAGTAGAGACGGGGGTCTCACTCTGGCTGGTTTCGAATTCCTGACCTCAAGCAATCTGCCCACCTTGGCCTCCCAGAATGCTAGGATTATAGGCGTGAGCTGGTCAACTGATTTTTGACAAAGGGGCCGAGAGAATTCAATAGGAAAAGAACAGTCTTCCCAACAAATGGTGCTGGGACAACTGGAAATCCACCTGCAAAAGAATGAATCTGGACCTCTACCTCACACCATACACAAAAATTAACTCAAAATGGATCACAGACCTTAATGCAAGAGCTAAAACTATAAAACTTTTAGAAGAAAATAAAAAGTAATTCTTCATGATCTTAGATTAGGCAGTGATTTCTTAGGTACGACACCAAAAGAACAATAAAAGATAGGGAATTCTCATTTTCTGGAGGTTCCCATGTATAGACGTTAAATAAATTTGATTACTTTTTATAAAGAGAAGATAGATATGATGAATTTCATCACAATTAAAAACTTCAGCAGGCAAGGAAAAAAACAAAAAGCTATGCTGCAAAGGACACCATCAAGAAAGTAAAAAGAAAACCAACAGAATGGCAGAAAAGGTTTGCAAATTACATGTCTACATAAATATATATTATATATATGAAAAAAAATACATATATATTTTTTGAGACAGTCTCACTCTGTTTTCCTGGCTAGAGTGCCATGGTGTCAGCCTAGCTCACAGCAACCTCAAACTCCTGTGATGACAAATGCTTCAGTTGATATCTCTAATCGGTATCCTCTCGAGAGACTTACCGAGTCGCTATGGACTTTACAGGCATGTGTGGGGTGCACATGCCCGCTAATTTTGTCACTTCGGGTATAAGATAAACTTTTTAGCGCTTGTACAGATAATTGTTCATATTCTGTAATCATTCAAGTTTTATGCAGGACGAGGGCTCAGTATTCCTTCTCAGGCTGTCTTCGTATACAATCCTTTGACATCAAAAATGTCTCTACTTTCTGACGCCGGCATCCTTAAGTAGCTATGGCAGATTAACATGTGTGAGCCAACACGCACCGGCAAGCATTACAATATTAAATAAGGGATTCGTACCCAGGAACAATAAAGTGCTCTTGCAACTCAATAAGGACAATCTAAAGGAAAAAATTGAGCAGGAATGACTTAATAGACTGCTTTCTGTCTTGAGTAATACAACATGGTACTTACTCATTTATTACAAGGTAGAAGTCAAATGGCTTACGAGGGTCAAATCGTAATGGTCTCTGGGTATGGAAACTGTCCCAGGTTGTTTTACTCCTATCATCTAATTAAGCTTCTGGAAGAGTGCTAAGGTGGTTAGCATGTTCAAGTCAGTAGATTGTTCTTGAATGAGCAAGCCTGAGCAGGGGTAATGAGACCTATCGTCTCTGTAATATAATAAGAAATTGACTAGAGGACATTTGAAACCAAACAGTCTCGTGAGTGACAGTTCATTTCTTTAATGTTTGAGTGGAATTTTAAAATTTTAAATCAGTTTATGTGAGAATTCAGAGTTGTGATAGGCCTGATTATGTCTGAAAATATGATTATATATGGAAGATAATTGGGTAACTGACATCGATGTGCTTTTAAGAATATATGGGTGTTTTCAAGTGTATCATAGCACTTACTCTGTTTTTATATCCTGGAGTGATAGCTGTAAAGACATATTTGCTTACTTAGAGTTTTTACAAAGAAATATCCATATGGAAATGGATTTTAAAAATAATGCACCTACAGTAGCGGACATCAACCAGGCAAATATTGGTCTATATACGATTTAAATCCTTTTGCATGGAAATACTTTAGGTCAATGAA